AGATGTGTATAAGAATAAATATATAAACATATAAATATATAAATATATATTAGTAGTTTGCCGACGTCGGGCCAGTAACAAATCGTGACGTTGTAGCAACGTCCGTAGTCAGACTGAATATTTACGACGGCTTACCAACGTTGGGACGACATCGGAAAATCGACAAATATATTCATACGTTGGGCCAACGTGAAATTCCAATGTTGGTTAGACGTTACCTCTCCGACCAAATTTTGCAACCAAACACCAACGTCAGATATCCGACCCCGACACTTGCCAACGTTTACCGACGTTGGGCCAACGTCGCTTTGCTAGCTGGGAACGCACACATGCATACGTCATGCGGCGTCATTGTTTTATAAAAGTTGGACTCAAGAGTTTGTTTTTGATGAATTAATAAATTTATGTGTTGAAATGTCTGTAATCCAACAAATGTATTTGTATGCACACAATGATAGTTGTATATGTGTAAATACAAAGAAACTCTGTAAAGCGACAGTTCTGTTGAGCGGCAGACAGTTTTGTATCGATACAAACAAATCACCTGACCAAACCAGACTACCGCTCCTGTCTGTAAAACTTCTGTAGTGAAAGTACAGTTAAGTACTATGTAACTATACAGAGTTTCTTCAGTAAAATTAAACTATGTAAAACTACAATTGTATATATTATATACAAACACACCTATAACCAAACATCGGACGTCCGCTCCTTATGTCATGTTTTTTCTGTCTACAAATTCCGTTTTTTAGGCATGTTGTGTATAGATACATTTAATATTAGCTTCCACTTTTGTTAAGTATGTGTGTATACATGTATATATGTGTATATATACATATATATATATATACATACCAAGAATACCAACTTGGTTCAAGCTGGCATCCGGCAAGCTAAAGCTAATTATTATCAGAAGTTTTTGAAAGCCCTGGAAACCAATAATCCTGCAAAATTCGACAAGGGTGTTAAACTGCTGTGTAAATTAAATAAACCACCCTGTTCTAGCCTGCCATGACTGTCTTATGGTGATGCTGCAAGTAGAATTAATGATCATTTTGCCGCTATTTGTAATTCCCTCCCACCTTTGGATCTTTCTATAACCTTCCAGCATATTTGCCTGCCAGCAGCCCACCACCTGTCATCGATACCTGGCAAGTGAGAAAAGTGCTTAATACGCTCAATCCCTCCAAAGCAGGTCATCATGATGACCAACCTATTCGATTGATCAAAGACTTTACGCCAGAACTGAGTATACCTCTCACCAACATTTTCAATAATGCGCTCAAAAAGGGGGTATTTCCTGATGTTTGGAAAAAGGCGACTGTTGTTCCTATACCCAAAGTTAAGAATGTTGCATCTGTAGATGACCTCCGGCCCATATCACTGACTCCGATTTTTGCCAGGATCTTCTCGAGAAATTTATTGTGCGTTGGGTCGTCGATGATAAAGACAAGTTGGACTGTAAACAATTTGGTAGTAGAAAGGGATCCTCCACAACTCATTATTTGATTAGCCTAATTGATTGCATTTTTAAGGATGTGGAAAAAGGAGGTACATATGTTAACATCTGTGCAGTTGATTTTATGAAAGCATTTGATAAAGTTGATCATTCTGTTGTTATAAAAAAGTTAATTGACCTCGGGGTGAGATCGTCTTTAGTTCCCATCATCTGCAGCTTTCTGAGTGGCCGAGTTATGAACACCAGGTACGCAGGCTCCCAGTCCTCTTACATCTCCATTAATTGTGGAGTCCCACAGGGAACACTACTCGGGCCGGTGTTATTTCTCATTCTCATCAATGACGCCATGATTGATAGCTGCAGAAGGTGGAAATATGTAGACGACCTCACCCTCGGTGAAGCCGTTCCTAGAAACTCTATACCTATTATGCAATCCCTCCTGGATAATTTAAATGAATGGTGTTTTCTTAATCAGATGGTACCCAAACCTTCTAAATGTCGCATCCTTACTATAAATTGTTTGAAGCATAAAACTCCTGAAATGATTTTGCCGAATTTTACCCTAAATGGATCAGTACTTGATGTAGTTGATCATATCCGATTACTGGGTGTAATTATTCAAAGTAATCTTAAGTGGGATCTCAATACGGAGAATATTGTCTCTAGAGCCTCCAGACGTTTGTTTTCATTATGTATACTTAAGCAAGCTAATGTCGCATGTGCAGATTTAATCACTGTGTACGTTTCATATATAAGACCGATTTTAGAATATGCTGCATCCGTTTGGCATGGTGCTCTGTCTCGATCCAATTGTATATGGCTATCGAAAGAGTCCAGAAAGGGGCATTTCGCATTATTTTAGGGTTTAATTATATTAACTATGATAATGCTCTTTCCAGGGGCGGATTTAGGGCCCCCCGGCCCCCTCCCCCTTTTGGGAGGTAAAAAAAAAGAAAAAAAGAAGGAAAAAGAAAAAAAGGATAGCCCACAACGCCTCAAATGTTATTTTCGGGCGTCTAATACACAAAAATTTCGCGGGGGCATGCCCCCGGACCCCCTAGGACATTGTTGTCTTGATCGGCCCAAATTTCGTCACCCCTTTCGCCCCCCCCCCCTCCTTTTGGACATCTCTGGATTTTAGGGTTTTGGACATCTCTGGATCCGCCCCTTCTTTCAATTTTTAATATTCCCTCACTCGAGAAAAGAAGAGAAACACTTACACTTGCTTTTGGCAGTAGTTTGTTGAAATCTGTTGTTTTCAGAGATATATGCTACCCACTTATCATAAACCCTCTAGAACTTTGAGATATACATGCCTGCTTGAAATACCTAAATCTAAGACTGAGATATAGTAAATCACCTATACCCACATTGGTCCGTATTATCAATAAGCATCATAATCCAACAGTAAACTATTTATAATTTAATAATTTAATATATTTAAGAAACTCAATACTGATCATGAGTTTGTTCTCCTTGGCCTTTGTATGTGCAATTTTAATTTATTTGTATTTGCTTTTATTATTTTTCCAATGTGTTTTTAACTGTTCTGTTTTAGTGGACTCCTTTTTTATGTCTTGAATCTTAATTTGTTATATTGATAGGCCAAATTTTTGTGCTGAGGCTATATTCCCCGCACAGGTCTTGCTATACAGTCTGGGACATTGTACTTACTGAAGTTTCAGTGAGGCATCATGAAGTGGATGCCAGGTTAACTTTCAATAATAATAATAATAATAATGTTATATTTATATAGCGCATATCGCACATTGCCCCTATGCGTTTTACAGAGAAATAATATAGGCCAACTGAGAAATAGCAAATAACAATAAAATAATAACAAGATTAAAGTCTCAGGTTTCCACCCTCTTATTTAATGTTATGCATGTACATAGCCTGTCTCTTATCCACATCTAGATGTGTATAAGAGACAGGCCAAAGTGGGTACGAATTGACATGGGTACGAGTTGGACGACACCCGGCCGTATTCCTTTTCGGCTTTTCTAACTGACTTTTATCCCGATTCTTTTAATTTATCTCCAAATTAAGAATAAATCACGTCGGACTTCTTAAATACAGTATTGTGTCACTACCGGTTTACGAATAGTTTGCAAAACTCAAACGGGTCAAAACTGCGCACAACAAACGCAACCAAAATCATTGATGCATATCGTAGCAGGTGTAACCAAAGAGTATAAATAGGATGGTGTAACGCACAACATGGCTGGACGAGTAGCACGGATTTGGTGCAGGCTAAACTTGCTGCAAAACAGAAAAGTATTTTTATAGTTGTTTATATAATAGTGTTAAATGCATATATTTTTTGTGCGATATCCAAGGTAGTACAGTAATTAAATCGCGTATTATTGAGCTGCAGCTAGGCCTAGGCCTGGTAGGCTAGTAGTCCTAGGCTAGGCAGCAAGCAAGCTGTTTGCCTACTAACACTAGGCTACGTCGTCATTGAACGTTTTATACGGGTGTCGCGATATTTTGCAGTAAGTGATCAAGTTCAGCCTCCCCGGCCTAACCTAGGGTCAGGCCTTTACGTTTAGACTTTTATTGATGCAGCCAATACTGTGTGTTCTGTTTTTATTTTGTTTGATATTGTTTTTATATAATCGATACTGAAATCAATTTTTAATTGTAATATACATCACATAATTAAGTCTTTTTGTCACTGTCATTTGTGAATTTTTATAAATAAACAAAGTAAAATATTCTTTTTGTTTATCTTGACGCTGACAGTATTGCCATGCCTCATTTTCAACATCTGCAAAGTTACACGCCAAGTTTTATGGAAAACCAGAGGAGGCAGTGAGTGACATACCTGATGATTCTACTATATTAGTCGGAGGTATGTAAAGCAATACCCGTTGTGCCAGCTGTTCCCCCATTATATTAGTCGGGTGATTTTTATGGGATAACGTCAATTAAGGTGGGTAAAACAGAATGAGTGTTTAAAGAAGAAGACTTAGCATACTCGATTACATAATATCGCATTTAAAAAAATAAAAATCTTGTCCGCACTTGTTACGTAGGCGCACCTAATTAGATCTGTAATGACATCGCAGGTGCATCGCTTCATCCAGATTTGGCGACAGGTCATTGTAATGCACAGGTATAGGATGATTTCTAGACAAGTTCTTCGTATTATACTAACCTAAAATTTGACAAATTTTCAGCACCTTTAACCTCTGACCTGAAGCCTAAATATGGTTATGATGACATCACACCATGGCCATTATAATAAGCACATCATGACAAAATATTGGCGTAGAACAGCTATTTTTTAAAGAAAATTCAACAATTTAATTTAAACAAAATTGTGAGTTGAAAATAATCAATTATTTGAACAGCTTTTATTATCCTTCTTTTTTACTAATTTATTCATTTTTGTATTTTAGTGGCTAGTACTCTATTTGTAAATGTTAGAGGTCATTGAAAATGATTCTTGATTGTGTTAGGATAACAGATAACATCATTTTAGCATTTTTTTTTTTTTTGTCGGAGGGTGGGGGGTGGGTAAAACGCATTGTTATTAAACATGAATTAATGGTTTAAAATGAATACACCAACTATTAATAATAATAATATTACAGAAAATACACACATTAATTATTACATCATGTCATAAATAAATTCTAGTTGGGATATCAAAAACAAATCAAGAGTATAATTTATACATAAAATTACCACTGGTTCACAATTTTGTTAATATCAAGCTGCATCCTGATCCTAAATACGACATTTATTCACTCATTCATTCATAGTAACATTTATTTTCTTCAGTATATCAATACAATGACCAATGAAGTGGACATACCAAACAAAGCAAAAGCTTTATGGGCAGAAATACCCATATCAACGAACACATAGAAAGAAACGGCGAGTACACAGGCAACTAATACAATGACAAACGTAAAGACAAGAAACTGAGTTTCATTATAAATTATTTAGATAGAGAACAAATATGATTATTTTGATAAAATATGATTCAAGCATTCAATGTTGAGGGTTGGTTGGGGGTGAAACAGGAAGTGCAATATAAATGGCAAACAGTATAAGATACCAGATTTTAATTTCATCATTTTCATTGTAGGTTTTGGATTATGTGGCATTCCAGAGAATTTGATTGGTGGCCTGCTAACCACCGGGGTCAAAGGTTTGACAGCAGTTAGCAATAATGCTGGGTAAGTTTTACATATGATTAGGGGGTGATATGTGAATCACTAGCACCTTAGCGGAGTGACATCCCTACACTATGATACGTAGTGAGTGAGGTATATTTTGAGTTGTCTTTTTATGTTTTATTTTTATGTTTCGGCAGATAGTAGCCCAATGTGATTAACTGTTTTTGTCGCCATAAACATAAATAATATTAATACAATTTTTTTTTGTTTCTTTGGACTGAAAATGTGTGTTTATTTTTTTGTCCAGTGTGGATGATTTTGGTCTCGGGTTGCTGCTGAAAACTAAACAGATAAAGAGAATGGTGTCATCGTATGTTGGAGAGAATGCTGAATTTGAGAGGCAATATTTATCAGGTGAACTGGAGGTTGAGCTCACCCCTCAGGTAAATATGATAATATTGTAGAACATTTTCTTTCATAAAATATGTTACTCATTTCTCTCATCCATCACATCTTTTTCAGACCTTTTTATTTCTGTTTTGTTTTGTTTGTTTCTGTTGTTCGTAGAATAGGCTAGTCTAGATGCATTCATCATTTGAGCATCTGTGAGTCATGATCTTGCAAACTACTGCTTGTCAGTGGTGTTAAATTACAAGAAAACGATGCAATGGTGATGGTTCCTCTTTAGTAGTCTGTTCTATTGATTTCTGAATTCCTTGTTAGTCCTAGGTTTTTAATGTACCATATATACTCGCATATCAGACAAGGCTTAAAATATCAAATTATGATTGAAGAACAGGGGGTCGTCTTATACTCGCGACATACAAATATTAGATTTTTTAAATCATATTCGTCTTATTGTGGATCGTCCGTAACATGTAAATTTACTGCTGCAATGAACCTACTAAAATGAATGAACACAATTTTAAATACTGGGAAATAAGATTTTGATTAACATTTAAAAGCCCATAAAACAGTATTATTTTAAACAGCCCTCCATTTGGCTCTGTTTGTAGCCAGCTAGATGCAGTGCGAAGACCAGATAGAGCAGCAAAAAGTATGAATTGCGACGGTGAAATGTGTGAGGTCTTAATACGCCCGATATAAAGAAATCATCCAAAAACCTTCTCAAACTCAGGGCTTGTCTTATACACAGGTTGCCTTATATCCAATTATACGGTAGTTTTTCTGAATTCTGACGGCAATAACTTTAATTCATATTGTATATTTAATCTAATCTATCGTTAGTATATTCTACTCAATTGTAATTATTCCAAACTTTTGCCAGTATTTAGTTGATTATACTGTATATTTGTTTTGTTTTTGCCTTTGCCTTTTGATATTACAACAGAAGAGTGACACATTTTCTTTTCAGGGTACTTTAGCTGAGAGGATAAGAGCAGGCGGTGCAGGTGTTCCAGCATTCTTTACTCCAACAGGATTTGGAACCTTAATTCACATTGGGGGAGCTCCGATAAAATATAATGCAGATAAATCGGTTGAGGTCACGAGTGAGCCAAGGGAGGTATGTGCATAATCAGCATTTGCTAATGCTATTGTCAAAATAACCTTTTTTAAACGCCTCGTCACCCTCTACATAGTATAGTAATGAAGTCTCCAAACTCTTCCTATTACTATTCTGGTGCTAGACTGGGTTCCAGTCCATAAATTTTGTCTTAATCAGTGAAAACTATTAAAAATAAATCAATTTTAGCACCGATGGCATACCATATGTGGCAAAGACAAGCCAAACCAGTCACTCGTCGCAAATCATGTTTCAGAGAAAATGGCCAAAACATGCTAAAATGTCAAATTTTTAAAAATCTATTTTATTGAACTAAACTAACCTTTATATATCTACACACCATCCTATGCTGTTATTTTCCCCATATTCAATGTTAAAACAACACAATTTAAAGATAGTCTCTGCATGGGAAATGCCTTAAATCATGTGTGGTTAAACGCTTGTAACTTCATAATGAAATGTCCGATTTGAATGATTTTTTTTACAATTTTGTAGCTATTATTTTACTCTCTAACACTGTATTATTAAAACAAAATCAATTTTTGCGACGAGTGACTGGTTTGGCTTGTCTTTACATATTACTTCTTTCCATACTATACATTTTACTGGTACTGTGTGCTAAAATACTGTACAGTAGTACATAGTCAAGCCTGCACAAAAAAAATATACTATAAAAAGTAAGTAAAGTAGTAAAAAAAAAAATCATCAAACTTGCATTTTAATTTTTTTTTACTACTTAAAATGTCATAACAATGTTTTTCTTACAATTGTCCAGCTATGGTTAACTATGCCACTTGTCCAATTAAATTGTATTGACTTGTTTTGTACCTAAAAGTATTTTGAAGTAATAATGATGTGTAAGCTATGGTTAATTATTTTAACAGGATCGTATGTTCAACGGCGTCAATTACATAATGGAGAAAGCAATCACTGGAGACTTTGCATTAATTAAAGCATGGAAAGCAGATCGTGCAGGAAATCTTATATTTAGAAAATCCGCTCGAAACTTTAATGTTCCAATGGCAAAAGCTGCAAAGATTACCATTGCAGAGGTATGTGAAATACACACACTACTACTAAATGGTAGAGGACGTATGTTTGTACAGTAAGAATATGATGTGTACGATTAAAATAGCTACCACGTTAATGTTAATTGAATTTTAAAATGTTCAAGCTTAATTTTTATACTATATTTTTGTACCATATATAGTTTGTTGGTGTTGCTTTACACTGTTGGGTGTTTGAATAAATAAATAATTCTGTTGAAATATCAGCTTCACATGCAAACTGCTCTTGGAACCACATGTTGTGTGCTCATAATTTTTATTGAGAGGAAAATATCAAAATTTTTATATAACTATTACAAATTTATCTAATACCTTATGTCTCTTCGTATTTGGAAACCATATTTGCATGAATAAATGCAAGTCGAGTGGTAAGGCAGGGACATAACCTGGCAGTGTGCACTTTAATGAACCCATTGCATCTTTCGGAGGAGTAGGGCTACCCTGATGCTATGGTTCATTTCAGCCCCTGTTGTTCTGGAATGATGTGAAGACAATCCACTATAAGCACCTCTTTACAGCAGCTAGGTAGTCAGCACAATGATGTTGTGAGTTAGTAAACAGGTTGAATAGTGTACAGGATACCGGGTTAAACAGGTAACAAGGTAAACAGGTTAAACAATGTACAAGATACCAGGTTAAACCGGTAACAAGGTAAATGGTTAAACAGTGGGTTATTCTCCCACTTCATTTATTAATCTCCTTGTCATTCTAAGTAACCCTGTTCTTACTTACTGTGGCTTTTTCTGGTGCGATAGTTATCCAATTGTTACCTAAATAAATTTTAAGAGGTTAGCTTAGCGGCAAGATGATACACATTTGTTTAGGTGAGCAGCCCATCGTTGTGGAATGTGGACACGTAGCTACTATAAGCGCCTCTTTACGGCGACTAGGTAGTCACGGTCCACTGCCATTTGCGATTCAGCACAATGATACTGCAAGTTATGGGTTATTCTCCTACCTTTACCTCCAGATCAGTAATGAGTAATTTACTCCTTTATTTTTAAGGTTGAAGAAATAGTTGATGTTGGTACGTTTGCACAGGAAGATATCCACATCCCAAGTATCTTTGTTCATAGAGTAATCAAAGGAGAGAAATATGAAAAGAGAATTGAGGTATGAAATGTTTTGCAATATACCACCCATTGTAGGAAGTTGACAGTTGTTAAATAAGTTGTATTATAGAATTTTGGCAGACTTGGTATTCCATACATTTTTGCCATAATTTACCACCAATCATATGAGTGGATACTTGCTGATTAAATTGTGTTTTGGAGTTTTGACAGAATTGGTGTTCCATACATTTTTACGATAGTTTACCGCCAATCATAGGAGGTTGACTGTTACTGAATTGTATTATGGATTTTAGGCAGACTTGGTGTTCCATACATATTACTTGAAGCAATCTTACGCCCGTATTCTTAAAAAAAAACTTTAGTCGAACTTCGAACTAGAACTTAATTTAGTGCTAGTTGCCACTTCAACTTCAATTTGTATTCACAAACAACATAGTCAAAGTTTTAACTACGACTAAATCAGTCCTAGTTTTAGTTCAACTGAAGACGACTGGCAAGCCACAACTACCAAACTAACCAATGAAAAGTGCTAACTTTAATAGCAGACGAAATTTTAGAGATCCAGTAACGCGGATGAATATTAAGCTGCCGTCTGTGGTTCAAAAACGTATTTCCTCATAATTCATAATAGACCACCATTCGCTTAATTAATTTTTTATAATAATAACTATATTAGTTGTTAACATATTACGATAAAGAATTTGAACAAGCACTGAAAATTTGCTTTCTTTGGAGAACTATTATAGGTGAGCCCGAGCGAGGGCGTCGCCATATTTGTTGTTGTTATGGTGAAGCTAGGTGATTGCAACGCGAGGGGATTACGTGCAAATCAGGAACTATCGCATGCGGCTAGGAAAACATGTTAATTTCTCCTTTTTGGAAGCTAAACTTGATGTTTTTTTTGTTTAACACACCGAAGATACAGTATATCAAACCTGCGTATATAATGGTTTTTACAGATTCATTATACTGATTTTAGTACAATATATTGTACTCTGAAATTTAGAGACTAATCTTACTGAATGCAATGTGAGTATAAAATACATTATATTCTGGATTTTAGAGGCTAACCCTACAAAAAGAAGGTGAGAAGACGTCTGATGGCAGCAGTCCAGCAGTTGCGATGAGGGAGCGTATTGTACGGCGAGCTGCTCTAGAGTTTGAAGATGGGATGTATGGTATCCTTGAAAGGGCTGAAAATGAATCCAATAGCCAAATTCATAGTTTGAACTGCACATACCCATGTCAAGGTCAATCGACATAAACAAACATACAACATAGGTTCATGTTGATCGACCTTAGATACGGGCATGCGCAGTTCAAACTACAAATTGCCTTAAATAAAAAGAGATATAAATGGAGCTATAAATAAATCAGTCATGTGCTAGTTAGATTAGCATATTAATTTTTAACAATAATGTTTAAAAAACAAAAAAAGGAGTTCCTTAATCGGTATTCAGCCAACCTGGGAATAGGAATGCCAATGCTTGCGAGTAACTACATCCCAGCTGGAGTCAACGTCCATCTACAGAGTGAAAATGGAATTCTGGGATTGGTATGTTTTTTTTTTAATTCATTTGATATGGAATAATGAAGTTAAAAAGAATAAAGAACTATATTTCATCCAGTACGCATGCAGACTTAATTCTTTAATAGGCATAAAAATGTTGATGCACACAAAATCAACATTTAAACATTGCTTGCCAAGCAGTCTGCTAAATTGCACATAGATCTTGATACACAAAAGATCAATTACTTAAACCACATATAGGATCTGTCCTAAAGCATTGCTTGCTAAACACCGCATGCAAAATACAAAAAAAAAATCATAAAAATAATTTTTGAAACTAACTTGCTCATTTTGAAGTAAAATAAAAATTATCTGCTTGAACATAGACATTAGTGTCTTAAAAAAATGTTTACACATCATTTTACAGCAAAAGATTATAGAAACACTTACCGAAATTGGAAGTGTTTATTTTTAATATCATTATGCAGTATGGAAATTTTAGGAAACAAATTTTTCAATTCAACAATTTTTAGCACAAGTTAATAATTTGTATGTTACTGCAAAATGAGCAAGTTCATTTTAAATTTTTTTCATAGTGTTTTTTTTTTTGTCATTTTCAGAGGACAATACATCTTTAAAGTGCACATAAATCTTAAAACATATTTTTATTATTAAGCAATTTTTTAATCATAATTTTCTAAGGAATTTTAATGTATTGTAAAATTGATTGAATGAAATAAAATCAATACTTGAATATTGCTTGCCAAACACTGTAGTTAATCTCTCTAGTTGAAAGACAAGAATAGCTATGCCATCAGTGAATATTGGAATTATAGTCCAGTACAAATATAGCAAACTACTGAATTAACAATATTAGAAAAATATATATTAAATACTACTGTTTGTTGTTCTTGGTAGGGGCCGTTCCCAAAGCCTGGAGAGCAGGACGCAGACCTTATAAATGCTGGTAAAGAAACCGTTACCACCATCCCAGCTGGAAGCTACTTCTCAAGTGATGACTCTTTTGCCATGATCAGAGGGTAAGACCATCCTTGCATTTGCATATTACCAAAGATACTAGAAATACAAGATAGAGTTCTCCACACAAAAAAAGTGTTCCACCGTGTTCCACCGAAATGCATGGTGGGAATACGAAAAATGGGACGCCCCTACAGCTGGATTTAAATAAACTTGTGCCAAACTTTCGTTACCAAGTCGTCGCGTTTTTTTTTATAATCAATTCTTAACAAAGATACTAGATATAAAAAACAAACTGGAATAGACACCCAGGCAGACATCGGTGAATACATAACCTCCTTGGTGGCGGTAGAAATCGTTGCTATTATCTTAATTTATAAATGGGGCCTACCTAGATACTGCAAATAATACACAAAACAATTAAAGCATAATCATGAATCAGTGAAAAAATAAAACAACAATAGAGTGCAGAATCGCATGGCCGGACGCATTCTTAGTGAAAAAGTTTTCCTCATTTAGTGGAAAAGGAAGGGCGCCTTTTGCGTCTGGATATACTTAGCAACGGAAGGGCGCCCTGTACGTTGGGCACGAAGTATAGGAAACTTGCATGGTTAAAAAGAAGGGCGCCGCCTACGTTGGGCACGACTTCCGCCTCATTTTGACAAGGCGAAAACTCTATCTTGTATTTCTAGTATCTTTGATATTACTTGTAAAACCAGTGACCAGGTTATTAATAATATTGTGTGTGCTTTGATACTTTTAAATCCATTATTATAATTGTTATACTGTAAAACCTTTAAAATTGAAGCACTGGGCTTCTTTTTTTTTTTGTTTTTTGTGAACTTTGAATGGGCTTCATTTCGAGGCTGCTTTTGTATAGTAAAGAAAGGGCTTCCTTTTAAAATGAATGCTGTAAGTTTTGCGAATTACTACTATAAAACAATAAATAGGACCAATGTATTAGCAATCTGTATCATGGAGTGTATTAACCGGTATTAAATTACCAAAACTACTGTATAAACCAAGCATTTTCCAAAAACCGAAAGGTCCACTGATTAATCTCAGATAAGAAAGTATAATACATACTCCAAGTATTGAAATACACGCCATCGTGTTGGGATTCAATATTTCGACATTGATTATGTCATCATGACATAATTAATGTCGAAATATTGAATCTCAACACGATGGCGTGTATTTCAATACTTGGAGTATGTATTATACTTTCAAACCAAGCATGGTTTTAATTTATTTTGTTTGTTTGAAATTCATGTACATTGTATGTACTGTATTATCTCAGAAAAAAGGCCATGCTATCTTGAAAAGAAGCCCATGAGCTTCTTTTCGGGGCTGCTTCTGCAAACTAGAGAGATGGGGCTTCAATTCGAGGTTTTACGGTATACCATGATGTGCCTATAAATGGTCCTGATGTGATGTCATTATGACCATATTTAGGCATGTCACATGTTTGACAAATAATATTTGATAGTCTGGTCAGAGATTTAGATTAGCCTTGTGGAGATGTAGCTTGGTTGTTCAAATGCTTACCTTCAAATTCCAGCATCCTGGGTTCAAATCTGAAAATAACACTACAGTATTTTAATTGAGGAGGGCCCCTGAATATCAGCTTACCTTCTGTGATAAGCTGACATATGGTCATTATCTTTAAATATGGTTTTTAAAAAGACATTATAAAAGCTATTAATAATATTGATATTATTAATATATTATTAACATGTTGACTGCCTTTTTTTTTTTAATGTGCCTTATTGTGTACCAAAAACATGTTTACGTGTACAAACATACTTTTTTGAAATTTTATCTAGTTATATATCATCAAAATGATGCGTCTAATAAATTGGCGGGAAAATATTAGAGGATGAGTATACTCGACGGCAGCACTGTGACAGAATTTTTTATTTTTTGCATGGGTTGGTATATGTTCAAAGGGCGCCCCCACTTGTGCCGCTCGGGTTTACTGCCAGCAGCATAACACAACAAACATACATACGTCATTTTACGTTATCGTATAGGTGTATCTTCCCTGAAGTCTGTGGTTCTACAATGTATAACAAAGAAGTAATAAACACTAGAATTGTTACCCCAATTTTGACAAATATAGTCGTCCCTGGCGCCCTCAACAACACCCTGTGGGACGAATGTACTCGTCGCTGGCAGCCAACATGTTAAATTATTAATAGCTTTTAATAATAATATTGATGTGCAACCTCTACCACTTTACTAACTATATAAAACAGTAGTATATGATAATATCTTTTGTTTTATTCATTTTAGTGGGCACATTGACTTAACAATACTCGGTGCAATGCAAGTGTCGAAGTATGGTGACCTTGCTAACTGGATGATTCCAGGCAAGATGGTGAAGGGAATGGGAGGAGCTATGGACTTGGTTTCTTGTCCAGGCACACGTGTGGTGGTTACAATGGAACACACTGCGAAGGGCAAGCATAAAATCCTGGATGAGTGTAGCCTACCATTAACTGGAGTGAAGTGTGTTGACAGGATTATTACAGATATGGTGAGAAACAAAATGCTTTTTTAAAAATTTTATTTATTTGGTCCAAAGAATAATGAAACTGATGAACACATAATGACATAGGGAGGAAAAATTGGCCAAAACAGGATTGCCAAAAAGTGAACTTAAATCATTGTCTTGTGGCTCTACGATGCCAATGAGAAAATTAATTATCAAAAATATAGTCAATAAAAATATGTAAATTACAAAATCAGTACAGTAATAATAAAATAATAATGGGGCAGCTGAAGTATGAAGATACTGAAAGTAACTTACTTGAAGCGATTGTATTTACATTTCTATCTCAAACCTGTATGACTTTGTTGTTTGGGTACATGAAAAACCTAAGCTAGGGTGAGCATATTCTTTTGTCGGGCTTGATAAATGTAGAGAATTTAATGGGTCTATTCGTACAGCCTAGGCTGAGGTGCTGCTGTGACATACTCAAATTCAACGTAAGTTCAGCCTCTGACCTGTAACTCATCGTATGTTTGCTTTTCCTTGAAGCTATTAGTAGGTTCGAGTACTGTATAAAATAATGCAGGGATAGAGTTATGGTGGGCGTAGGGTTGCGGAGCCAGTTTTCCACCCTGTCTAAACCTAATTTTATGGCCGGCCACTCACCATTAGGCCAAATAAAATAAATTGTTTGTTTGCCCTTCTTTTTTTTTAAATGACAAATAGGGGCGGGTGGAAAAAGTTTTTTTTAATTTATTTATTTTTTTAAATGCCCATCAGATGGAATAAAAATAATGCACAGAGGCCTTGAATGGCAATATCTTACATCAGACAACAACAATTTTAGACTAATTTGTAGGGCATCTGTCAAAAACATAAGATCACTTCAATCACTTTTTTTTTTTAATTTGTAAAACTTTTAAGTTTTTTTGTTTTTCCGCCCCTATTTTTTTCAGTGAGTTAGGGGCGGGTGGAGGAGGGCAAACAAACAATTTTTTTTTTTTTGGCCTTATTAACCCCTTTTCCAAATTTCAGAATTAATAACTGGCTGAATATATTTCGTAAATTTAATTGTTTCTCATCCACAGTGTGTTTTTGATATTGATAAAGAAAATGGCCTGAAGTTGATGGAGCTTGCAGAGGGTGTAACAGTGGAAGATGTAATCAATGCTACAGGGTCAGAGTTCACTGTAGCAGAGAATATAAAGTCAATGGGACAGATATAGGATGAAACTAAGTACTGTATTTATGTTGTATGGAAGCGCCAATGGTCAACAATTGGCAGTTGTATTATGGGTTGGTTAGTGGAGACCGGACAAATTACACTTTTACACTGGATGCAAAATGGAAACTGATGAAATGATAATGTCAAACAGTGATAGGCCTAAAGTGGAGGTACAGGGTATTGCCAAATACAGAAATATTTTATGTTATCTGTCGTGGAGGTAGTTCATTATGATAGGCCCATCACATAGGGGATACAAGAAGCCTGCAATGAAGATGTGTCATGGAGTAAGATATAATTGGCATGTTGCAGAATTATTGTCAAGTTTACTGGGTGCTGTTGGAAACTGGAATTCAAAGGAATATTATTGTCTGAAAAAAAAAAAATTGGCCTAAAGTCTAGTCTAGATTCAGATTTCTAGCATCCAGAAGTTGTTTACCAGCCTTTTGAGCTCATAATGGTATTTAAAGCTATAGGCTTCAAATAAATAAATACCAAAGGTAAACTTTTATGACATAATGCTACATGGTTAAAACTGTATGTTGCTCATAGTAGTTTATTAAAAATATGTTTAAAACCACGCTCTTGAGGGAAGAAAGGTGTTTTAGCGTTTTTCATCAAACACCCTTTTTGTATCTTAGAAAAATCAGTTGTACAACATATCAAGAACAATTTTCCTTCCAGAGCCTGGCTTTAATCCAGGGGCGGATTTAGGGGGGGGGGGGCCGGCCCGGCCCCGGCCCCCTTTTGGGAGGTAAAAAAAGAAAAAAGAAAGAAAAAAAGAAAGAAAAAGAAAAAAAATGATAGCCCAGAACGCCTCAAATGTTATTTTCGGGCGTCTAGAACACAAAAATTTTGCGGGATCCCCTAGGACATTGTTGTCTCGATCGGCCCAAATTTCGGTCCCCCCCCTTTTGGACATCTCTGGATCCGCCCCTGTAATCTGAAGGCAAAATGCAAAGTTGCAGTTACATAATAGAGTGTATTCTTTAATTGTGAAGTAGGTATTTATTCAGAATCCTTTATTTATTCATAGAACAAACTCCAATTAAAGAAAGACACCTTTTGCATTCCATATTTCGAACTTTACATAGATCATCAGGAATAAAGTTACCTTTACCGATCCATAACATAGCTGGTCAGCTCAAAGCTGACCAACTCTCTGTACCCATAATATTGAGGTTAATGAAGTTAATTTCTTTACTATTAGTTTTGGTCATGAAACAATGGGTTTGTGTATCTCTTATGGTAAAGAATCAATATTTAATTGGATAGGCTTACACTTAGCAGCTGCAAAAATTATGTGGAAACAAATATAATATATAGGCCTACTGTATTACTGTGTATCAAAGATCATTGTCCGAAAAAAGTTGTTTAGAAATCTAAATGCTGTTAGTTTTAAGAGATGATATAAAAATACCTGTATGTAATTTTAACAGAATAGAAGAAAATATCAACTTATGAAAACTGGAACCAGTGTTATTACAAGTGGTAACAAGTTTCATTGCTAGTACTTACACTGAAAGTATATAAGAACAAAATCAAATTAGAGATGTAACAATCACCTGCAATGTGTGATATTATTTACATTTTGCTCCTAAAATGTGCTGTAATAAAATATGTCTTCCTGTCTTAAAAATACTGTAATTGTTTTGCTTTTGTTGCAATAGACTTTTTGCTGTATGTGTCAATAGAACCTAAAGATACTCGCAAAAAGGCCTCCTTCGGCTGTATTGTAATGTTGAGATAATCAGTCCATGTTTGTGTCCCAGTATATCCATTAGTAATTGACATTATTATTTATTTATTTAATAAACTTCTCACAAAAATACAGAAGTGAAAGAAACGAACAGGTGAAGAACACTGATGCAAGGGATCGCTCCTTGCAATTAAAATACAAAAATAGAAATACTGTATAGACATAAAAAATGACAGTACAGTCAGTGAAACAATAAAAATTAAAAAGGGATGAAAAACGTCAGGAAGTAAAGGAAAAACAATGACGACGACAATAAAGGAGTAAGAAAAATCGTAAAAATTAATAAGGCCAACAAAAATTGCCACAGAATATATATAAAAATCATTTAAAATAGAAATTGCCACTAAATTTTTTTAAATGTACTGTACAAGATTATATTCTTAGGCACACAATATTGAATATTGCTATATTTAACAATAATTTTAGGAAGAATTTTGCAAATGACAAATTACCTTTTAAATATAGAACAATTGTGAGCCACTACTTATGTTCATAATATTGACACAATCAGTTAAAATATAGAATATATATTCTTTATACTGATTACTTTATAGTCTGCTACATTTACTAACGTAATTTGAATAATGAATTCTCGCGTGAGTTGCTTCTGTAATGTGCCAAATCCTCTTTAAATATTTTGTAGATTCTTGTTAGTGTAAAATTGTTTTACGATATTTTAATAATTGGTAAAGACCCCTAAACTAAAGTCAACCGTAAAGGAAAATATGAAGGAGGGATCAATTTGACACCGATAAATTGAAACATTCAGAGACAAAAAGCAGGTTTACAGTTATGATGAAATCACGTAACATTGATGAAAATATGCTAACGGTGGAGAATGATAACGAGCATATAAAGGTCTGCCTTCAATTATAGGCCCTCAGACCACCTCCAATTAACAATTTGAAATGTAATTGTGGGGTCGCCCTCAACTGTCGGCACCTCCCAGGAGGGGACAAAACAAAATAAACAAGCACCAAAGATCAGGGAATTCAGAAACGATCGTCGCAGAAGTTATAGGACTATACACAAGATCAAGAAGTAAAAATAATATTGAGAAAACAGAACAGTGCTGAGAAATCGAAACCTATGTCTTCACAGATGATCCTATTGCGAGCCGTGTGATCAGCCTGCAAAGGAAAAGGGTAGAAAAGGCAAGATACTATAATAAATAAATGAACAACACACCTTTATTTTATACAATCATACATGGTCAAAATAATTGACAAGATTATGTTATGTTAGTGTATAGACCACACTATGTGTACCTATGCATGTTGATCCATTCGTGTTGGTGAGTAGTGGGTATATGGGCCTTTTAGTTTATTATCTTTAAAAAAATAAAATGAGAAATAATTACAGATAATTGATAAATTAAAATATTTTAAATAATAATAATAATTATAATTATAATAATAATTATAATTATAACAATCATAACCATAGTCATATTCATAATAATCGTAATCATATCATAATCATAATAATAATGTAATAATAGTAATGCATAGGCTATCTTTAATTTTGGTATATGCTTAATTAATGTAACTTCAAGGTTTTGTTTTTTTAATGAGTCTGAGCTCAGTAAGCTAATCAGTTCCTTGAATGATGCTGTTGCGAAAAAAGCGAATGCTCGGACTCAGTTCTAAACCAAGACTCTGAACGGTAACATTTTTTTACAATAATAACTATAATAACTATAATAATAATTAATTAAATCATCATGGCTAATGCTGATTCAGTACCTTCTGTTGAATGTGAGAGATTTAAGTATTATGATTACTGACTGGACAAGACTCCATCCAGCATGTGTACATTCTATTCTTACAATAAACTCATCTATCAGAATTATTTATTTAAAAAATTGATGCAAAGAAGAAGGGAAATTTGGCAACCTTACGAAAAAAGTAACGAATACCTCATTCATTAGTTCACGCCACCAACGACAGCAGGGGCGGATCCATGTCCGAAAGGATGGGGCTCGAAAAAGCCGATCGAGAGACAACACCCAGAAATAACCTGCTCTGATGCGTTTTGGGCGATTTCTCTTTCTTTCTTTCTTTCTTTTTTCTTTCTTTTTTTTTTAACTTTCCAAAATGAGTCGCAGGGCCGGCTCTCCCCCACCCGCTAAATCCGACTCTGGACAGAACATTGCAACAGCTAACGGGCAAAGAAACCGCCTTTTGGCTATCTCTTCCCTTTAATCGATGATGTATCATCTGATCTCTGAACAGAGTCTACACTAGAGGAACGTCAACAACGTTCAAAGCACATGACCAAGTTAGGCTTAGTTTAGAGAAATCATATTTCCTCATCTATATAAATACTGAACTCTGCAGGTGTGGAAAGATTACGTCATCGATTTCGAACGGATGACAACCCGCCAGTAATCGATGACGTTAATACACGGATACGATAAGAGAGGGAATATGTATATAAACTTCTGAAAACATAGCAGACGAGCGAATCACGAGTCGGAGAGAAAAGAAGGTGTAAAACTTCTTGAAAATTGAGGTAGGACTACTTCGAATATTCTTTTTTGACGAGACAACTTGTTTATCTCAGGAAATCTTGAAATCAAATTTGTAATGGCATTGGATTAAAACTGATTTTTGTATATTGATAATCATAAGTGGAAATTGATAAATCAAATTCTGGATAAATTGCAAAGCATATCTTAAGATCATTACGACCACGTAACCTATATTTTAATGTACAATTTGAGTCTTAATGTAGCTTGCATGAGAATCTTATTCTAAGCACTTTCAAATCATTTTAACCATCTTTTTATTTTGTACAGTTCCTCGACTTTTAATCCAAATTTAAATCCATTTGCACATTTTACCCGTTCCTGTATTACTTGCATTTTAAATAATTTTGAATGGTTTTAAATGCTTAGGTAAAGATTAATTGATTTTAAATATCAATGTATATTTTATTGAATTATCTTTTTAGCTTTGTCATATTTTCACCCGATTCTACCTAAATGATCTGATAAGCAGGCCTATCAGTTTCGGTGACAATTAAATCTCATGATGACTGGTGCTGGCACCAGTTAAGTGTATCAGCATTTCATTAGTCACCGAAACTGATCATTTAGTTAGAATCGGTTGCTTATTTCTGTAGGCCTATACATGTGTCGTTATTTAGTCTGTGGTTTTATAATTGTAACGTGAACGCACCACATGAGGTGTACCACTGATTCAAAAGTGTAGTTTTAAAAGAAAGTTATTATACCACTAGCTTTTAACACGTAGGCCTAATGATATTCTCTACCTGAGAAAGTTACAAAAATTGTTTATAAAGGTAAAAGATATTGATTGCTAACTCGTATAAAGTGTTAGTTTAGTTATGGGATATTGGAAAAACATCCATAGTATCTAACTGCTTGTAAGCAAGTAGAGCATATTTTCTTGCAATGCCTCATCAGTTGGAAATTACTTTACTTTTTATTTGAGTTTTGCATGTTTTAATATTATGTAGGAGTAAAAGATATGAATGATAATGCTATCAAAAAGACCACATCTAACTTTTGCAGGGTATCGTTATAAGGTTTAATGAAAATGCACCAAATGAAATGTGCATTAAATGTGAATGAAACTGCTCTGAAACATTTCAAAGTTAAAGCAATTAAATAGTGCTCAGAATATGTTTAGTCTAATGCATCAAAAAGAGACTATATGAGACTAGGGGCGCGCGGCCGAATAGCCTAGAGTAGGCCTATGCTCCGAATCTGGCTCAAATTTAACGGACCTTGTATGTATTACCGGTTGTAATGTTTTATAACCAAATACTGCTGCACTTTTATTCAACCAATGAGGTTATACATCTTTGATTCAATTTAGTTAATTATTTTACTGCATTGTATTTGAGATATATTATACATTTTTGGAAGATCTCTGATGTGAGATGTTAAGTTTATTAGGCCTAAACACTTCTGGCCCAAGTCTAATTTTATATCTAAGCTCACTCTTCAATAGCATTTAATGAACCATAAAAATGGAAACCAATTGGAGCTTCCGGGGCCCGGTCTTGTCTTTGTGTAGGCCTACAGAATACTCAGGATCCGGTTCTTAAGCTAGCGGATAATAATTAGGCCAAACACCCTGCAGATGCACCCAAACAAGGAGGTATAAATACCATCAAGCGTCGTTTATAAACCAAAATTATTAATTAAGATTATAAAAAAAAACATTTGTTCTATTATTTATTAACAACTAAAATTACATCTGGTACACAGCATGCTTACAGCACGTCGACGCAAGCCGACAGTCAGGTAGACTCTCCAAATAACTTTTTTAAAATCATAAATAAAGACGCACGCAGATCTGAAAATATTAAGAAACAACACATGTGTTACAATTAAGATGAAATTAGAACATATAGTATAAAAGAGCAGCAATTACAGATTTTCGAATTTAATATACAATTAGAAGAACAATTATTTTTAAAGCACTGTACATAAATCACGCAGAAAAATGTATATTATTTAGACCAGTCAAGTTACATTACAAGATGAAAATTTAACACAAAAATGGCACTATGCAGAATTATACGATGTTTTAAAATGTAGGCTACGGCTAATGTATTATATTTTTCTCCTTGTGTACCTGTGACTTGGACTTATAATCTTTATTCTACTGCTTTGCTGATTAATTTAAAACAAGTATAAGAATGCGTTTCTGCAAGTAATTTTATTACAATTATATTTGTTGTATTAGCTACGCAGACGTGTAAACATATCAAGAATACCAAGCTCAGGCCTCTAAACAACGGACAAAAATTAGTCGTAACATAATTAAGAGACACAGAATAATTAAAACCGAGTCTGTATGTTTAAGAGATCAGACAACCAGACGGTATGTTAGCAGAATAAAATTGCGATCACTAAAAATTATATAAATAAAAAAATATCAATTTTTTTAACTTAATAAAGACTCTAACCCAAGAAAATATTATTGGTTATTGGTGTTCTACTTTGGGTGATATATACATAACTTGGGGTGATAAGCCCTATGCTGTCCTTTTCACTTTCCTCTATAATTTCTGAAAAGCGCATGGAGACTTCAGTGGCATGCGCTATTATACAAGCCCAATTAATACCAATATAGGCCTATTAATAACTTTCTTAACACTGAGTTTGTAAATAACATTTGATTGGAGGGTGACAATTGGAGTATGAATATTTTGGTAAAGATGGTATCGTTAATGTATTCGAATAATGTGGGAAGTAATTAATCATGAAGAACGTTAAGTTAAAAGAAATAATAACCACAATAGTCTTGATTAAAAGTAGATTAAACAATGCACTAATCGTATCATAATCATTCCATTTATTTTGCCAAATATAACAACTAAAGGGGATGTGGCAGGGATTGACAAATGCAAGAAGACTTGTCATGGAGGGGCTCATCATCCCAGCACAAACAAAAATACAAGCATAAAAAGTATAAATTATGTTACTGTCAGTATAACTCAAACCGAGGCATTATAGCATTGATTAACGATTGAAAACGTTATCGTGTAATTTAGACTAATATTGATGATTGTGAGGACTGATATTGATGATTCTTAATAGTTCAAATTGTCCTTACTGTACTTACCACACAGCGCCCTCTGTTTTTGCAAAGTGAAAATAGTGTTATTGCAATGAGTACAAAAATAATATGGACTAAACTTGAGAAATAAATCTATTATGTGCAACCCATTAGTTTATAATTTAAAGTGTAAACAATGATTAAATGAAATTCGATCAATTATTTTCTTTTCAGATTAGAATAGTAACACTCGAATATTAAAAATAGACTTCAGAATATCAAGAATCAACACAAAAGATACAAGCAAATGGTTGGTGATTCATATGCAAGCTACAACCAAATAGTTTTTATGATTTTTTTCTTTGTCACATCTTCTGTTGTGTTGAAAATATGATTTCATCATTCAACTTCGAGTTTTTAGGTTTTGTCCTGCTAAAAGTATTATAATATATACAAGTATCTCTTTCGAGATCCAGCAGCTGAAAAAAATAATGCTCTTAAGGTGTAAAGTGTTTCTGACAATATCGTCTATGCGACATTAGTGCTGTTCAGTACTGTGACGTCAGACACGCTTGAAATAAATAAAAAGGATTCAATAGGATTCAAGCGCCTTTGAGCACGATTATTCATAAATAGGGCGCTAGAAATTTGATAAATAAAATAAATAAATAAAAAATAGGCTACTAGCACTTGGATTCACAGTTACTCTGTGTTATCAACAGTTGAGATCTCGATTTTGCATTTATGTTCATGCGTTGATAGATAGCACACAGAAAATTTCTTTCCTTGAAAGAGAACAACAATATTTACTTTCATTATGTATTTTATATTTGGTCAGAATACAATACAGGCTTGAACGTGCCACTTCTATTAAATGATTCGGAACTGAATTGGGATTATGAATTCGTCAAGACAGATAATACTTGGGGCAAAATACTCACCTGGTGCATTTATACAACAGTGTTTGTTACTGGATGTAGTGGAAACATCCTCGTTATGGTTTTCATACATCAGTGTCGACAGCTAAAAGGCGCACCAGCGATGCTTTTAGTGAGCCTAGCAGTGGCTGACTTTTTAGTGTGTATTATAATAGTTCCCTCGGAGGTTTACTTATACAATGTTGAATACAACTTGGGACCGTTTACTTGCCGAATCTTCGCCTTTTTAAATCAACTTGTATTCACAATCTCTTCGTTCACTCTAACACTCATCAGTATCGAGAGGTGGGTAAACATTATATTTACAATATGCCTTTAATCTTTGTGCTTCCAAATGTAATTTACTGTAGAATACTGACTGCATACCGTTTGACTCGGTATAAATATTTGTTGTATTGTTCTTGGAAAATTCGTGATAGGCATATAGTTATTTTTTTACCTTTGCATACACCGACAATGGTCCCCATTAAATGAGAATGATAATAAGAATATGATTAACGTAAGTAATTCTCCAATAACATAACTGTGTAATATTATGTTATTGCGGATCGACTAATTAAAGATTACCGATAATCATAACCGATTAATGGATAGCCATGCATTATTTATATGATTTCTTTGAGTTATAGATACCTAATACTGTATCAGTTGACTTTAAATCCGATGTTATGCTGTAAAATAATAAAGGAGATTCGAATAAAGAAAGTTGAGAATGTGTACTATGATTTGATTTATTTTAATTTAACTTTAATGTTAGTGCTGTTAACTTTTGGTTGGTGTTTATAATGATGGGTATTAATATTAATATCATTAATCATTATTACGGATAATTACACAATTACAATATCTTTACATATTTTCTTATTTGTTTATGTAGGTTGTACGTTATAAAACACCCTTTTCAGGCGCGTGCCGTTATTACAAGAAGACGGGCTAGGTTTATGATTGTCGGGAGTTGGTTGATCGCTGTGTTGTGCTCGATACCAAACGCATACAGGCAGGTAATAAAAAACAAAAACAAAAACAAAACAATTATCTAGAGGCCCAAATGCATTTGTTACAGTCCTCTTGGATTAGTTAAGCTATGATTATGTTGCTAATTCTTACCACGTTGTTTTATTTACGATTACTAATTGTTACATTTAATATAATACAATGTGTTGGCCTATTAATTTATATAGTCAATACAGTAGGCCTACTTATGAATTATAGTGTAGTTCATTCGCTACAGTTAATGCGTCTTCAATGGCAGACTATGGCTATCAGTTCGGACTGCTGTCGGACAGCAGTCATATAGAATGCGGACAGATCCTTCTCCTGATCCCATCGACTATAACTAGGCCAACCCTTAACGATGAGCATAATATGTGTTGAGAGCCTACGGCACCCAATCAAGATTTCATTTTAATTATGCATAAAATTGTAAGGCAATACGGACACGCCAAAAATGTAAAGTGCAAATCTAGTAACTTTGATATTTGTGGATATTAATAATAATAAGTCTATAATAATGAGCATAGTACAATGTAATTAAATTTTCAGATTTTCTCTAATTATTTAGGAACATATGATTCATGTCCAAGGAATAAAACAAAAGGCAGTGTGTATTCCTAGCACTATGCAACCTTGGAAAAAATTGAACGCCATATTCGATTTCTTGGTTAAATTTACAATCCCCGTACTTATCATGGCGATCTCGTACTCAGTCGCTGTTGTAATTCTCTACAAGAGTACGAGACAGAGCGAACAGTTACAGAGTATGAACATGCTAAATAACAAGACTCGCACCAATGTGGCAACAAAAACTGAAATTACCGATTTGACTATAAAACCGATCAAAAGTAAAGCAAAGAAAACTAAATCGGAAAAACATCAGGACGAAAGAAATCAGGTATACAGAAAATTATTATGAATAAAGATAATTGATAATTATAATGATTTATTTTATTTCATTTTATTTATTATTCATAGTATTTTATAACATATTAAAAGCGTCATTTAAACGTATTTGAAAATAACGTTTTTCTCTACTTTTCCAGAAGGATCGGAATAATAATCAAAATATGAGATAAATACCTGTGAGATACGCTGTGAGTCAAAAAAGCTTCACAAGCGTAAAGTGGAAACGAAAAAGAATTGCACAAATATAACTGTATATATATCATGTATAGGCCTAAATACGGTAACGATTACTGTATTGTCATCCTCTTAATCGCCGATGTTATGTTTTTAAATGTTTTTTTTTAAAGTTTATTAAGTAGGCCTACCACGGATTATCAATAGGGATATTAATAACTGTTTATTATATGAAATGGAATTAATCTTATATACAAGACAAACATATACACATGATACATATGCTAAGTGTCATTTAGGGGCTTATTGGGTGTATTTGTTTTTTAAAGTGAGAAAAAAATCACTGACAGAAGTTGAACTCATGACCCTGCAATTAATATAATATAATATATTACCGCCAAGATATGTATACAGCTCCACTCCATTATCGTCGACGATGTCTTTAGCTTCATCGTCTTTTTATTATCAATGTGTTTTTTTTTTCTTTCAGACAATCGTTATGCTTCTTATTGTTGTTCTGCTGTACTTTATAACTTGGGGACCATTTATGGTATACCAACTCATGCGTCGTTTCGACGTTTTTGGTGCACACTATTATTTTCATCCAAGGCTTATCTTCACAACACTGAAGATGCTAGGAATAGGAAACAGTTGTATCAATCCATTTGTCTACGTGTTTACCTTAAAGAGTTTTCGATCAACCATAACAACAACTTTGTGTTTCCATAAAGGACCGAATTCGACGAAGAAGAGAATTGTATGATAAGGAAAAATGTTTTAGTAAGATAAAATTAATGATCACCGTTTTACGAGGAGTAACTTCAAGTCATTTAAATGATGTGTAAACATAAGTATAAAGAAACATCTAAATTTTCTTGCTAGTCAGATTGGTTCCAACAAAAAAGGTTTTGCAGCTTGATAAAAAGTAAGCACAAGTCAAGCCATTATCCTTCTGTTATGTCTCATAAAGGCACATCATCCGTACAATCAAGTTATGACCAGGCTGCAGTGTTTAATTCATTTTTTTAGACCTCATAATCAGGGAAGATCTGGTAATGCGTAGTCTTCCTGGTTATGATGTCGACAAGTCGACATTTCTGGTGGAACAATATGTTGTTTAAACGGGAACTCTTGAATGTTAACATTCACAAAGCTACAGGTTATGATCAGATAAACAACATCATTCTTAAGAATAGGCTTCTGTTTTAAATTATCCTTTTACCAAAAATTTTCAGTTGTTATTAGACTCCAAAAATTCCCATGGCTTTGTTCCGAGAAGGTCCTGTCAAACCAACTTTGCACTGCTTCTTGCTACAGCATACAAAGTTATCGATAGCAAGAAGCAGTGTGATGTGATTTACACAGACTTCTCAAAGGCTTTTGATTCTGTTTATTTTGAATTACTTTTTAAAAAAAATATTTAAGTTTGGTTCTTCTGAATCCTTATTTAACTGGTTTAATGATTGTTTAACTGACCGTAAGCAACGTATATGTTATTGAAGACAATCATCGGAGTGGTTACCAGTCATTTTTTGGGTACCACAGGGTCTTAGTTTCTTTATTTAGGCGTACCCGAAATAGAAGATTTTTAAATCCACCTTCAGTTGTGTTGATGTTACATGTAGAGGTTTACTTAAACGTTTATGTGATAGTTATAATAAGTTTTTTTATGTCTAATACTGATATTGATATTTTTTGGCAGTTTAAGTGTTTTTAAATCAAGGGGTTAGGCCTATTAGTACATTTTATTGTATTTTTATATCTATTTACATAAACATTTTATATTTATTTTTGTATTTTTATGTATTTGAACCTGTTAGTGGTGGTTGCTATCGCTGTTGGTTAGTACCAAAAAAAAAAAAAAATGAATAATAATAATAAACAGTGTACATTCTATAATCCATATTTTATATAACAAAAAGGCGGCAATATACAAATTCCTATTTTTAGTATGAACATGCTCAATCGAGATTTTCGTCCAATAAAATGTGCAGATAGATCATGTTCTTAATTCAGCAACTGTCGTTATGACGTTGAATAATGCTTCTGGTTCCAGCAATTATTTAACTTAATTCAATCTTTGCTGAAATCGATATCTTGAGAGTGGATACTGATAGCACTTACAACAACAGTATTACAAAAACACTCTCTCAAATAATGTTTTTTACATCAATAATCGTTTTCAGAAAATTATAATGTATCAATCAGCCTTTAGGAAAAAACATCATTTTTCTTTGCTTCTTCCACTTTGTAGAGTGAACTGCCTGAATACTTCAAGCAAGCTTCCACACTAGAGAAAATTACAGTATGAGCCAGTATTTCCTTAAAAATTGTTTAGCCCTGTGGGCCTTGTAATGAAGGTACTTAAGATTATGAGTGAGCCCTCTATTGTATGATACATAGAGTAAGGACACATGAGCCTTAAGGCAGTTGATAACAAGATACCAATAAAGTAATATACAAGAAAGTCAGAATAGCCTACTGTATTATTGTCTACAACATATCATTACATGGTGTCAGAAGTAAATCAAAATGAACGGATTAAAACCACCAACTTCTCTTAAAATCACTATGGAGAACATGGCTGAAGAGTGGAGAAAGTGGAAACAGAAGTTTGAGTTATACATTATAGCCAGCGGATTGGATCGAAAACCAAACAAGGTACAAAGTAGCACACTACTACATGTAATAGGTGAGGAAGCTTTAGAAATTTTCAACACTTTTTCATTTTCTGACAATGAAAGCAATGAAAATATTAAAGATATTTTGGAGAAATTTAGAGTTTATTTTGAACCACAGAAGAACATTACTTTTGAACGACATAAATTTAATACAAGATTTCAGAAAGAAGGTGAAACTGTAGACCAGTTTATCACTGATTTGTGATGCAAAATTAGGTCATGTGAATTTAAACGCTCCATGACAGTCTGATAAAGGACAGGATTGTGGTCGGAATTAGAAGTGATAAGGTTAGAGATAGACTGTTTAGAGAAAATGAACTCCCATTACAAAAGGCTATTGAAATATGTCATGCAGCTGGAGATAGCATGCAGGTAAACACAAAGAATGAAACTACTGTATCAAGTGAAATAAGTACAGTAAGACATACCAAAACAAATTTTAAGCATAAAGTGGGCTTATACAGTAAGATAAGAGTGATATCATTAAGAATTGTAGACAATGTGGTTATGATCATATAAGTAAAAACTGCCCAGCTTATGGAAAAACATGTAAAGCTTGTGGTAAATTAAACCATTTTGCAAACAAGTGCTTGACTAGGAATAATTGTCATCTACAAAAGAAACATAAGAAAAAAGTACATGAAGTAAATGAAGTAAGTGATAGTGATGAAGAGTCAAGTAATGAATTCTTCATGGATGCTATAGAAAATGAGCATAATAAAAAAGAGTGGACAGTAAAGTTAAATGTTCATAATAAGCGTAAACAGAACATAGTTGAGTTAAAACTAGATACTGGTGCTCAATGTAATGTAATTCCAGAAAGAATGATACATGAGTTAAGTGCTAAAGTCAGTAGGACAAATGCAAGATTGATTACCTATTCAGGAGAAAGAATCAAACCAATAGGTAAAGTACCCTTGTTTGTGAGCACAAAGATAAATATTTCGATGTGGAATTCCAAATAATGAATCAAAACGTACAGCCAGTGTTAGGACTTGAAGCTTGTCAGAGACTAGGCTTAATTAAACGTATAGAAACATTGCAGTCCAAAACGTATCATGATATGATAAATAAATATGATGTGTTTGAAGGTTTAGGGTGTATTAAAGGTGAACAACGTCTGCATGTCAAACCTGACGTTAGACCAGTTGTACATACACCTAGAAGTGTTCCTGTACCACTACGAAATAAAGTTAAAGCAGAGTTAAAAAATGGAAACACTTGGAGTAATAGTTAAACAAAATCAGCCAACACAATGGGTTAGTAGTATGGTTGTTGTAGATAAAATGAACAAGAATAGTGTACGTATATGTCTAGATCCTAGAGATCTTAATGAAGCATTAGAGCGTGAACACTATCCAGTGAAAACTATTGAAGAAGTAGTGACAAAACTTCCAAATGCTAAAGTGTTTAGTACATTAGATGCTAGTAGTGGATATTGGCAAATACAGCTGGATAATGAAAGTTCTAAACTGTGTACTTATAATAGTCCTAATGGAAGATATAGATATACTAGGCTACCTTTCGGTATTAAGTCTGCACCAGAGATCTTCCAAAGAGTAATGACCAAAATGTTCGAGGATATAGAAGGTACAGAAGTAATAATGGATGATATATTAGTGTGGTGTAGATCAGAAACAACACGATGAACGTCTTGAGAGAGTACTCAAACGAGCTAAAGAACAAAACATTAAACTAAATCCGGATAAATGTAAATTTGGTTTAAATGAAGTAAAATACATTGGACATACCCTTACATCAGAAGGTCTAAAGCCAGATGAGAGAAAAATACAAGCAGTGCAAAGAATGCGGGAACCTACAAATAAGAAAGAATTACAGCAATTTCTAGGTATGATAAATTATCTTGGAAAGTTTATATCGCATCTTAGCAATGTCACACAACCACTGAGAAAACTTCTTGAGAAAGATATTGACTGGCAATGGCATGCTGAACATGACAAAAGTTTTGAAGAGTTACAACGCTTGGTAACAGAAGCTCCAGTTCTTCAATACTACGATGTAAATAAATCAGTAACAGTCAGTGTCGATGCATCAAGCACAGGTGTAGGAGCCGTATAGCTCCAGGAAGGACATCCAATAGCGTTTGCCTCAAAAGTATTTACAGAGTCACAAACTAGATATGTTCAAATAGAGAAAGAGTTAGCAGCAGTAGTATTTGGATGCGAACATTTTCACAAATATCTATATGGCAAAGAATTTGTAGTAGAAAGCGACCATAAGCCACTTGAAGCTATTATGAAGAAAGCTCTAGCAATGACGCCACCAAGACTACAAAGAATGTTATTCACATTGGAGAAATACAGTCTCGAATTAATTTACAAGAAAGGTAAAGAACTGTCTACAGGGGCGGATCCAGAGATGTCCAAAAAAGGGGGGGGGGGCCGAAATTCGGGCCGATCGAGACAACAATGACCTAGGGGGTCCGGGGGCATGCCCCCGCGAAATTGTTGTGTTCTAGACGCCCGAAAATAACATTTGAGGCGTTGTGGGCTATCATTTTTTTTCTTTTTCTTTCTTTTTTTCTTTTTTTTTCCCTTTTTTTTAGCTACCAAAAGGAGGGGCCGGGGCCGGGCCGGCCCGCACCCTAAATCCGCCCCTGGTCTATAGCAGATGCATTGAGTAGAAATCATCTACCAGATGTAGAAACAGAAAAAGAAATACCGATATACATGGTAAAAAATCTACCAATGTCAAATGAAAGGCTAGTAGAAATTAAACAAGGAACTACAAATGATAGCACTTTGACAAAACTAAAGGAAGTTATCAGAGAAGAAAGTATAATACATACTCCAAGTATTGAAATACACGCCATCGTGTTGGGATTCAATATTTCGACATTAATTATGTCATCATCAGGAATGATGATGACATAATTAATGTCGAAATATTGAATCTCAACACGATGGCGTGTATTTCAATACTTGGAGTATGTATTATACTTTCTTATCTGAGATTAATCAGTGGACCTTTCGGTTTTTTATCAGAGAAGGATGGCCAAATAACAAAGCGATCCTAGATACTGAGTTAAAACCATACTGGGACTACAAAGAGGAAATATTAGTTTAAGATGAGCTACCGGTATTGTTTAAAATGGACAGAATGATAATACCAGCAAAACTGAGAAAACAAATGATTGCAAAGCTTCATGTAAGTCATCAAGGTATTGAAAAAACCAAGAGACTTGCGCGAGATATTATGTTCTGGCCTGGTATGAATGCACAAATAGCGGATACAGTGAGCAGGTGTGAGATTTGTCTAACACACAGAAATCGAAATGCAAAAAAAACCATAGGACACGACATACCAACACGTCCATGGCAAAAAGTCGGAATGGATTTATTTGAACTGTACGCAAAAGACTATCTATTGATAGTTGATTACTATTCAGGATACTTTGAAATAAATCAGTTGACAAGTACAAAATCCAATTCAGTCATCAAATTCTGTAAGCAACAATTTGCGAGACATGGAATCCCAAGTGAGGTAGTGTCAGACAATGGACCGCAATTTTCATCAACGGAGTTTAAGGCTTTCAGTAAATCATATGAATTTGAACATATTTTAGTGTCACCAAATTACCCGCAATCAAATGGAAGAGCTGAAAGGCAGTACAAACAGCAAAGTTGATACTTAAGAAAGCAAAGGAAGACAAACAAGATCCATATAGCGCGAGATGGACTACCGTCCCCAGTTCAATTGCTAATGAGCCGTAGAACAAAAACACAGTTGCCAACGTTAGAGAAACTCCTAAAACCGAAAACTAACAAAAATATTGTCAAAACGATACAAAACAAACAAAATAAACAGAAAACTTCTCAAAGCACTGAAAAGTGGAGATAGAGTTCGAGTATGAAAAGATACACAATGGAAGCTAACGCTAGTTGTTGAAAAACACAATGCGCCATATAGTTGAAAGCAATGGTAGATACTACAGGAGGAATCGTAGAGATTTGATTGAACAGGAAGGATGCCAAAATACTCAAGACTGGCGAATAGAAGCAAATAGCACAAGACAGAACCGGCTTCGCTACCCGAAACGTAACAGAAAACCTGTTACAAAACTTGATCTTTGATTATATAAAAAGGGCAGAATAATCCCTGTATAATCACTGTGCCAGGATAGTCTACTTCTGAGCACAAAGATTAATGAACATCCATTAACGGAATGTAGTTATTAGTTTGTTGTACCAAATGAAAGAGAATATATTACCTGTTGAGGATTGTTTATTAAGGAAAAGGAAACTAAAGTGCCAAAAAGAAATATTAATTAAGTAGATTCTTTAAAAATTAAAATAAAATAAAAAATTAATAAAATAAAAAAGGGAGATTTAATAAAGTTACTTAAGGTTATGAGTGAGCCCTCTATTGTATGATACATAGAGTAAGGACACATGAGCCTTAAGGCAGTTGATAACAAGATACCAATAAAGGAACATACAAGAAAGTCAGAATAGCCTACTGTATATTATTGTCTACAACATATCATTACAGGCCTCAGGCAATTTTTTCAAGAAACAATGACTCCTACGGATTCTATTTCCTATAGTGTACTCGAATCCTGACTAATGAAGTATAGCAGCGTTAGTCTGTTATTTATATAACAATAAAAGAAATGAAAGCAGCACTTTTGAGACTAAGAATTTATGATTTATGATTTTATAGTCGAATCCTGACTATGATTTCTTATTAGAATTTTCTGAAATTGCTCAACCGTTTTTTTTTTTCAAATCAAACATGCAGCAAGCGTGCTGACATATTCATATTTCAATAAATGTAATTATAGATTTGAATAAATTCATCTGGTTACAACAATTATTTATATTTGAATGAATAAATCAATACCTTTAGAGTGGATACAATGGCACTTATAACGTAGGGAATGTAACAATACCCTCAAATAAATATAACATGTCAATTACGTTGAAAGCTATTCAGCTTTTGAATATTAGTAAGACCAAAAATATCAATTGAAATGTTTCATAGTGAAAAAGGACGTAGGCCTATCTTATTGAAGAGTGTCACTGTATTTTAAATCGGTATTCGACTATATGAGAAGACACTGTTTCTAATCAGGTTATATGGTATCTGTTCTGTGAACGATGGTCGTGTTTCTTGTTAATCAGTTTTTGGGATAACTTGTCTGCGACGTCTATCATTAAATGGCCCTCATGTCCATACCCTACCAGGGGCGGATCCAGAGAATTTCTGATGTTCACGCCACCACTTAATTTCTTAAGTTCACGCCGCCACGCCCACCTCACCATGGTTGGTGTAAATAAATGGTAAATAATCGAGCTTTCCTGTCACCCACTGCTGGATCGCCACTAACTCATGGGTGTGTGCACTCCTTTTTTCTTCTTTCCTCTCTTTAACTACAATTTTTCTCCCTCTTTTTTATTTTTCGGCTTGACTGACGGGGGTGGGGAGGGCACGGGCCCTCATGGCCCCCACTGGTTCCGCCACTGCCTACTGCGGACTGTCACCAAAATTTAATCATTTCTTTATTGGACCATGAAAAAGCATTCTGTAAAGTTTTATTTTTATCCATTTGTCAGTTTTTGAGATATTTAGGTCTGGGACGTTAACACTTTAAATGACCCTCACATCCACACCCAAATCCGGATCGTCACCAACATTTATTAATCCCTTCCTTGTAACTTAGATTTTTCCGCCCTGCTATTGTCATTGCAGCTATAGTTCGAGTCTAACTAACGTCGAGTTAGTTCTCCTGTAATTTTTAACTTGATTAGTCTTCTAGTAATAGCCATTTTTTGTTCTAATTGGCTCTTATAAGCTTTTTTTTTTCGTTCTTTTTTCCCCTTATTTTTTTGCATTGGATTTTTCCGCCCGGCACTTTGGTCACTTTCCATGCTTGGATTCTTACCATATTTTGTCAAAGCATGGATGTAACTCCTAATAATTTAGTGTCAATGTAGAGTGGGATATGGATGTGCGAACAAATAAAAGGGATTTAAGAGCCAGCACACTACACCAGACATGGCAAATACAGGTCAACTGATCTAAATGAAACTTTCTGAAAATTTCCAAGTTATAAGGAAGAAATTATTATGTGTTGGTGACGATACAGTTTAGGGTGTAAGTTTGTGGGTCATTTAAATTTCTGACGTCCCAGACTTAAATATCTCTAAAAACTTATCAATTGGTCTAAATGAAACTTTCTATACTAGTTTGTCAAGGTCTAGTAAAGAAATGATAAAAAGTTTGTGACGATCCGGAGTAGGGTGTTGATATGAGAACCATTCAAAGGAAAACGTCCCAGACCAGATATTTCAAGGACGGGTCAACTGATCTGAATGAAACTTTCGGGAAAGTTTAACCAATTTCAACAGAGGAGATGATCATGTGTTGGTGACGATCCAGTTTATGGTGTAAATATGAGGGTCATTTAAATCTCTGACGACCTAAATATCTCTAAAAACATATCGATTGCTATCCAATATTTTGAATTATATTTCATAAAGAGAGCCCAAATATAGGCCTAAGTCTATTTAGCAATTAACAACTTTTTGCCTTTGTTATCAGCTTCTTAAAACCATACCAACTTATAGGAGCCATTACTAAAATGGTCATAAAAAAAAAAGAAAAAGAAAAAAAAAGGCGCTTCAAAATTGAAGCTAAGGTTTTGATTCTTTGTTTTAACGCATTATTAGAATTTTTTTAAAGAAAAATCGAAGTGGGTCACAAGAACATGATGGTTGATTTGAGCCGAAATGACCCATTATTCGTACAAAAGCTTGATTCCTGTTTAAATAACTAATAGGCCTACAACTGAAGCAAAATCGTAAAATATCCGTATCTTATGTGTGAGTGTTTGTGTGTATTGGGTGTGTGTAAGTGCGTAATAATTACGCATTAATTAATACACTGGGTAACAATATGCTCTCCTAAATAAATATAGCATTTGAATTACGTTGAAACCTATATCGCTCTAAAGATTTTTGAATGTTAACAAGATACTCTGTACATTAAATCGTCAATCTATATTCATATTTGCAGGAAGAGAGCGTAGGAGTAAAAGAACAGCGCCCTTGTATTTTAAATTCATATTCGACTACATAAAGAGACGACAAGGTTTCTAATCAGCTATATGATATCCCTCTTCCTTGAGCGATGGTCGTTTTTCATCTGACTGATCATTTTCAATTACCAAGTAAAGTTTTATGATATTTTGGCAAAAACACATGCACTGACAAAATAATACAACTGCAACTATTCTGCATACTTACAACCGTTAAAATGGCTTTCGAAGACGTAATTAATAACGTGACTGACGTTTTGGTCACTAAAAACACAACAGTGTTAAAAGAGCCCGAAATTGTAACTACTTTCTCTACGACAGAATTAGATATCTGGACAGAAGACAATGCAGCAGGTTTGGAAAACGTGATAATTTCATCAAATGACTTGAATCTGAATTGGGATTATGAAGACGTTCTGAAGGAAGATACTTGGATTATAATTTTCACCTGGTGCATTTATACAATGGTGTTTGTTACCGGATGTAGTGGAAACATCCTCGTTATGGTCTCCATACATCAGTGCCGACAGCTAAAAGGCGCGCCGGCGGTGCTTTTGGCAAACCTAGCAGTAGCTGACTTTTTACTTTGTCTAATATTAGTACCTTTGCAAAGTTACGTGTACTATACTACCGAATTCCTTCTGGGGCCGATTGTTTGCCGACTTGGTACCTTCTTAAATCAGCTTGTAATTGCTTGCTCTTCGTTCACACTAACACTCATCAGCGTCGAGAGGTGAGAAATATATTATGTTTGTCGTTTTCTAATGTAATGAAAGATTGATTGATTCCGAAGACTATGTTGGATTCGGTATTTCGACATTCACTAGATTACTGTTCAAATATTATGAACTTTACTATTTTTAAAAATCATTTTCCAGAGTAGGCTACATTAATTCCTTTATTTATAAAATACCCGTTGAGTCGTAGGTTCTGAGGCAAATTTATTTTACGAAATTGTAAACATAATGTGATAACTTTTTAGAGGAATGAATATTATTTTTGTGGTTCAAATTAAGTGCCAGTGAAATAATGAAATGACTCTGATTAAAGATATGCTGTAGGCATACTCTCCGCCTATAACCTCAAAAATTATATTAAAATGTTAAAAAGCTTTTCCAAAATAAATAAATAATCATGCAAGCAAGCAAATAATGAACGAAACGAACGAACGAATGAATAAAAAAAAGAATCGAGAAACAGGATTTACAGAGGTTTGACTACTTCTTGTACCAGCCAATCTAAAATTATTACTGTAAAAATATGTCAAACAATGTATTACTTCTTTTTTGTAGGTTGTACGTTGTAAAACATCCCCTTAAAACGAGAGCTATGATTACACCAAGACGGGCTCGGATTGCTATCGTTGGGGTTTGGTTGATCGCTGCGTTATGCGCAGCACCAAACACATATAGGCAGGTAG